AGGCAAAGCAACTAGGTAGCATGAGCTCAGTCATGCTTTGCTGGATAAGCAGCATGTACCCGGGGCGGCACTGGTACTTGGACAGCAGTGTACCAACACCTGAAGTCCTAGGAGCTGCTAGGTCTAACAAACTGTGTGTTGTGAGCCTTGCCATTACTTGCCTCATATTAGATCCAAAACCTAGGTGATACTCCAGGGTCTGCAAGTTAAGATCCAAACTGCTCAGCTTTGCCATTAACCAAGCCCCAAGTTACATTTCCTACTGTATTTCTCTTAACTGCTAAATAACACTACTCTCCCATGGAAAAGCATAACACACTCATTTTATATTCCGATGGTGGCAGATGAGGTGCTCCATAACATAGGGCCAGTATGTTTCTGCATCCTCATGTCCAGGTCATTTCTGCCATACCTGCCTCCACTCACAGGAGAAGACTTAACTTTCCTGAACGACTGTGGCTTTCATGCTTCCACACCTCTACACAAACTATTGCCTGTGCCCAGAATATCTTTCTGAGACTTGACTGCCTGGTGAGCTCTCCTTCCACCCCCACTGCCTGATGAATGCCTTATTCATTCTTCAGGATAAGCTCAGGGTATCAGCCCCGACTGCTTCACTGCACTTGAGCTTTGTCTCCTGGTGCTGCTGTCTTGGCAGAAGTACCGGACTCCAGGAATTAGGTAAACAATCATCTTGTATGTGCAGTTGCTCTCATACTTCCACAGATACTTTAAGCCACTTTGATTTCGGGTGTGGAGAAGGACGTAGAGAAGAAAGCTATTGCCCTTTGAATACCAAAAGCTGTTTTCCTCAATTTCTCAGAAGTTCTCACTCTCTCCCACATGACAGCCACACTTTGAACAACTAAGGCCCTGAAAAATGTCAGTACTGCCTATGATTTTACACCAGCTTGTGTTACTTGCATATTTCATGCTTGATCATTTCCCTAGCCGGGCTGTTAACTCTTAGGACAGAGGGTAGAAAGAGCCTAGACTTTGCTGTCAAATAGATCTGAGTTCCAATCCCATTTATGAGCTCTGTGACTTTGAGCAGATTACTAATCTTCCTCTGAGGAGTTACTTGAGGGCAGCATCTCCTTCAGCATCTGACACAGAAGGCTTTGGGGATAAAGTCCAGACACAAGCCTGGCCTACAGCTCACTCTCCTGCCTCATCAAAGCTTACTCTCCCATTTGCATTCTAAGCCCTTTTAGAATGCTGTGGTGGGTCTCCCCTCCACATCTCCATTTTCCACTCCTCTGTCACAGGCCAACTTTGATTCATTTTTCACATCTTACCATAGCTCTAATGCAAGGAAGATGTGGCAGAGACTGTTAGTTGCCTCCAATATCCCTTCCCCCTTCCTCTATAGTAATGGACCTCCTCTTAAATCATTGCATAGCTGGGCATGTGATTGTCCAGAAAAATGACATTTCCCTGATTTTTTTTTTCAAGAAGGTATAACTTTATGTCTAAGTTCTTTCCAAGAAATGCCAGACAGTGTGACAGCTTTTGAGAACATTTCTTAAAAGGACTGCTGGTATGATGACCATGACCATCTCTACCTTCTGTTTTGAGTCTTCTTCTTTCCTGCTGGCTGCAATGCAGACATGAAGACTGGAACTAGAGCAACCACTTGGGGACCAAGGCAGAGCCTGGGTGCTTGCAGTCTCTGTGGACCAGGACTGTTTATCAGTCCTGCTTCCAGAATTCTCTACAAGGGCTAAATGAACTTCTATCTTGGGGAAGTAAGCTCCTATTTGGGGGTCTTTTAACCAAACCTAATCTTGACTTCTAAGTCTTTCTTGGCTCCCCACATCTGGTTACCTCCTTGACTTCAGTAGCACCCTGCACTTTATACAGGAAATGAGGCCACCTGTTTGTGTGCACCTGTCTCCCTGAGTGCAGAGGCTTTGTTTACTTTGCTCCATTTTTGTACCTCTAGCACATGGCTGATTAATACTAGATGGTCAGATTTCTGTTGAATGATTAGAGGATTAGAGATGTTTTGTGGACTGAATGCAAATAATAACATTGCCTACCTTGTGTTGCTTTGGGGGTCAAATGAGAAAAAAATTTTTACGTTTTCTTCCCATCTTTCCACATTCCCCCACCGATCCTCATACCCAGGGTGGGCCACCTTACGCTATGCCTTCCTTTATACTGTTTTCTTTTCCTCTGGGTTCAGAAGCCTCCAGTGCAAAATGATGGGACAGGATCATTTGAATCTTAACATTCATTCTGAGTCTAAGTGTCACTCTCACCTCTTCAGTTCATAGGAATCTCTCCCTCCTCTAGCTCCCTGGAAAGGTTCTCCAGGTAGATGGAACAGCAAACACAAAGGTACTGAGGTGTTACAAGCCATGGAGAACTAAGCATTTGGGCTAGTTTGGTCTGGCTGGAGGAGGTAGGTGGGCTGCTCTGCCAGAGAAGACACAGGGATCCCATTGTTATTTATCCTGGGGGAGCCTGGGAGACAGATACAATCTAGTCCATTTCTGTATGTGTTATGCTACACCTTACCTAGTTATTAAATGATCTCTTGTTCTTGTGCTTTATCTTTATAGCACCAAAAATTATGGTCAACAACACTGTCATAACTTTTGACTAGTAAGAAAAAAATTTATGTGTTATTCACCATGGTTCGCAATAACATTACTGCAATATTTGTGTCTGTAAAACATCACAAACAACAAAGGCAGTAACAGAATGCCTATAAAACTACAAGTTTTCTGGAAATGTAGTCTTTTTGTTTTTCTTGGGATAATCCTGTGGTTCTTCAGCAGTGATTGGTGTGAGTTCTATAGAACCACTGCTATGTGCATGGAGACCCAGCAGAGATTTTTGAGCAAGAAGGTGTCAGCCATACAATGTTTATTGGGTCCACAAAGTGCTTGGTACTGGGCTGGAGGGCCTAGGATGACAAAATTCCTGTCCTTGAGAAGCGCACAGTTTATTTAGTGTGAGGGACATACAAGTAGCTAAGCAAATAAAACACATGAGCCAGACTGGAATTACTTATAGTGTGATGTGGAACCCTGGGGTGGGGAATAAAAAAGAGTGTCAGAAGGAGCAGGATCTGGAGCTGGACCCAAACAGCCTAGAATACCCACTCAAGAAAGATCACTGCAGCACTTGTAGGGTACATGGCTGGGATAGAGAAGAAACTCTGGCCAGAGAGACCATTCAGGAGGTTTTTGCAATAGTTAGGATGATGAAGGGACCTAAAATAGAGCAGATGCTATGGTAAGTGAAGAAGAATGGATTAAATATTTGGGGGCAAAATTACTTGTGCTCAGTAAATTGTTAGAAAGTGGGGAAGGATAGAGGGTGGAGTCAAAAATTTCCCAGGTTTGTGGTCTGGGGATTAGGCAGATAAAAGAGCGGGGGGTACTAAAAGGAAGCCTGGGAACTTTAGTGCCATCTCTTCCATCAGTCTCCCTTCTTTCAAATGGATAGTTGGCATTTTCTTAATGTTTTGTAAATTTACAGGCAAAGTAAACCTTCAGGACCACCTTCCAATGGGATTACCATGTCAAAGCCCCACCTATATCATATGGAACTGGACCATCACTGTGTGTGTGTGTGTGTGTGAAGGGGGTAGGGCCAATGACCAGCACTATAATCTATGGATACAGTTGCAGAATATATTTAAGGTTGGTATTCTTTGTATTTTTAAAAATGTGTTTATATTTTAATAATTTGAGATAGGGTCTCTGTATGTTGCCCAGACTGGCAACTCCTGGACTCAAGCAATCCTCCCACCTCAGCCTTCCAAGAAGCTGGGATCACAGGTGTGAGCCACCCCACACAGCTAAGTTTGAAGTTATGAATACGATTGAGGTCCAGGAATATTTACATTTGGCATGATGACTAAGAATTTGTTCCAGGAGCTCATTCATTTGATAAATATTGAATATTTCCTATGTGTCAGACTCTGTTTTTCCCACTAGGGATACAGAGAAGAACAAGACAGAATAGGTCCCTGTCCTCATAGAGTGTGGGAGACAGGTAGCAGACATATAATTTCAGGTAGTTATAAGTATCATGAAGAAAAAATAAAGCAAAACAAAAGAAGAGTGCTGGGAAATGCCAGGGAGCCGAGAGGATAAAGGAGCTGTTTCAGGGTGTTCATCAAGACCTCTTTGAAAAGGAAGAGCTCTTTTAAAAGGTGATATTTGAGTAGAAGTCCACAGTAAGGAAAAGTGGCAGAGACTGTTAGTTGCTTGCCCATGAGATGGGGGAAGGAGCAACACAGAAGGTATGCAACATTTGAGAATCTATTAGGCATCCGACGGGAGGTGCTGCGGGGGCGGATGCATGGAGGCAGACGGATTTACATGTCTAGAGTTTAAAGGGAGATGAGGCGGAGATATGAACTTGGGAGCTGTCAGTCCAGTTCCAGGTTCCAATTCAACGTACTTTTTTTTTTTTTTTTGAGACGGAGTCTCGCTCTTGTTACCCAGGCTGGAGTGCGATGGCGCAATCTCGGCTCACCGCAACCTCCGTCTCCTGGGTTCAGGCAATTCTCCTGCCTCAGCCTCCTGAGTAGCTGGGATTACAGGCACGCGCCACCATGCCCAGCTAATTTTTTGTATTTTTAGTAGAGACGGGGTTTCACCATGTTGACCAGGATGGTCTCGATCTCTTGACCTCGTGATCCACCCGCCTCGGCCTCCCAAAGTGCTGGGACTACAGGCTTGAGCCACCGCGCCCGGCCTCAACGTACTTTTATCAGAGCTCACAGTCCGCCAGGGACTGGGGACTTGGAGATGAAGGACACACCAGCCAATGTGGTAAACTCTTTGGTCCAGATATGCTCTGGGAGCACTCTGCGAGCACAGAGAAGAAGCGAGTCAGATTACGGAGCCGGTAACGGTGGGGAAGAGGCGGCCGCTGAGCGAGATAGGCCGGAGGAACGGAAAACGGAAGCACGGGGCGTGGGGATGACGCACCCGGCGCATCACAAAGAGCGCCGAGAGGGCGGAGGCGCCTGGGCACAGCTTGGTGGCTTCGCCCAGGAGAGGGCGGGGAGGCGGGGCGGCGCCCCCACCGCGGGCCTGCGGCGCCCTCTGCAGGCCACAGGCAGCGACTCACCAGTAGCGTCATCTTTCCTCTTCTCTCTCTTGGTGCTTTCCTCAGGCCACATTTTTTCTGTGTGGGGTAGTGTTCCCTAGTCTCTCAGCCTCCGACTTCCGTCCCTTCCCTCCGTTTTCAGGCCAGGCGTGTTAGTGTCATCGCGGGAAAACTGCCAATAAAGTTTTAACTCCTTTCGCGTCCAGGATCCCCGCCTCCCTTCAAGTACCGCGAGATCTGATCTGACGGCGCGGCTACCATGGCGGCGGCGTTTGAAGGCCCGGCGGCCTTAGCGACAGTGGATACCACTATGCCGGCCGAACATGTGGCCTCGCAGGTCTCGGCACCGCAGCCAACACCCGAGCCTGTGAGGAGCCTGCGGACGGCTCAGGATATCCGCAGCCCACGGACCCGCACGGGGGACGTGCTGTTGGCGGAGCCGGCCGACTTCGAGTCACTGCTGCTTTCGCGGCCGGTGCTGGAGGGGCTGCGGGCGGCCGGCTTCGAGAGGCCCTCGCCCGTGCAGCTCAAGGCCATCCCGCTGGGGCGCTGCGGGCTCGGTGAGAGCGGGGGCCGGGGAGAAGTGTGGCCGAGGGGCGGCGGCGGCCAGGTCCGCGCCGCAGCTCGGGAAGAGCCCGCGGTCGGCCGCTGGGCCTGGGGCAAGGCGCTAAGCTCAGTTAACTTATTTGTAAAACTAAGGCACACTGTTGAATTTTAAGATGGTTAAGGGCTTTTCCAGCACTGACAAATGGTTCTAACTTTGAGAAGATGAAAGGTAAACGTTCAGGGACGAGGCATGTTCTCATACGTTTTTGAGATTCAACTAAAAATGAAGGTGCCAACTAGGGGAATCTCAGGAGACCCTTCTAGTTCTCTGATTCCATGTTAGTCCCTAAGCTGTTTCAGTGAGTACTGGCTAGTGATATGTATGTATTTTTTCCTTCGCAGATTTAATTGTTCAAGCTAAATCTGGCACTGGGAAAACCTGTGTGTTCTCCACCATTGCTTTGGATTCTCTTGTTCTTGAAAACTTAAGTACCCAGGTGAGTTAGCTCAGAGGACCAGAGGAGGATGTGTTGTGTGGACTTTTCCACAGGTCAGATGAAATACCAGTAGCTCTTCAGAGGTGGAAGTGAATTTGATTGAGTTTAAGGGTGGTGGTGGTGAAATTTGGAATTTTCTATGTGTACCTTATTTAAATAGAATAAAGCTAACGTGTCAATTTTGTCACTACTTGATAATACAGACAGGGATTCTTTACTGATTAGATGAATGTGAGACTTCACATTTGATTTGATTCATGGTATTGTAGTGCCCTGGCTATTGCTGGTAACTGCAGGGTTTGTTTTTGTTTTTTTGAGACTGTATGACTGTCACCTAGGCTGGAGTGCAGTGGCCAATCTTCGCTCACCGCAACCTCGAACTCCTGGGCTCCAGCGATCCTCCCACCTCATCTTCCTAAGTAGCTAGGACTACAGGTGTGTGCCACCACACCTGGCTACTTTTTGTGTTTTTTTGTAGAGATGGCGTCTCTTCAGTGTTGTATAGGCCGGCCTTGAACTCCTGGGTTCAAGCAATCCTCCCACCTTTGCTTCCCAAAGTACTGGGATTACAGGCATGAGCCACCACACCCGGTGTGCAGGTGGTTCTTAAAGCTCTGTAAATGTATCATATTGATCTCTTGTCTTCTGGGTTGTCTCAGAGGGTTTCTAAGACTGCCTTACCCAAATTAGCAAGAAATTTGGGTTTGGGGATCATTTCTTCAACAAAGATTAGTTGAGCCCATATTATGTATAAACGGTATGCCAGGTATTGGGGATTCAAAGATGAATTAGATGTGATTCTCATAACCTTACTTTGTAGTTTAGTTTTTTTTTTTTTTTTTTGTTTTTTTTTTTTTGAGATGGAGTTTCGCTCTTGTTACCCAGGCTGGAGTGCAATGGCGTGATCTCATCTCACCGCAACCTCCGCCTCCTGGGTTCAGGCAATTCTCCTGCCTCAGCCTCCTGAGTAGCTGGGATTACAGGCACGCGCCACCATGCCCAGCTAATTTTTTGTATTTTTAGTAGAGACGGAGTTTCACCATGTTGACCAGGATGGTCTATATCTCTTGACGTCGTGATCCACCCGCCTCGACCTCCCAAAGTGCAGGGATTACAGGCGTGAGCCATGTAGTTTAGTTTTTATGGCAGACTGTATTTCAAGTTCTCAGGCATTGGTATATCTAATGATGAATCTTCAACAATGGTTTTTAACCCAGATACTCATGTTAATTCCCTGAGAAGCTCGTTGAGTCCATCTTATATCTGCCAAATCCTAGGTGATGTTGCACATTGGAAATCTTCCTACTTTGCAAGAACCTGAGCTAGTCTAATTGTAGACCAGGATGTATTTGAGATTTGGGCTTCTGACAATTTGGCAGCAGATAAAATGCTAAAATCCTGGAAAAGTTTCATAAATTCATTTATATATATATTTTTTGAGATGGAGTCTCACTCTGTTGCTTAGGCTGGAGTGCAATGGCACAGTCTTGGCTTACTGCAATCTCCGCTTCCCAGGTTCAAGTGATTTTCCTGCCTCAGCCTTCTGAGTAGCCGGGATTACAGGTGTGCACACCACACACCCAGCTAATTTTTTTGTATTTTTAGTAGAGATGGAGTTTTGCCATGTTGGCCAGGCTGGTCTCAAACTCCTGACCTCAGGATATCCACCCGCCTCAGCCTCCCAAAGTGCTGGAATCACAGATGTGAGCCACTGTGCCCGGCAAATTCATATTTTAATATTTTGTGTGTATCAAAGTAATACATATTCATTTTTGAAAATCGGGAAAATTCAGAAAAACTAGTAAGTACCAGAAAACAAAATCTATAATCTCACTACCTAGAGAGAAACTTCTATTAACAGTTTGGCATGTTTTCTCCCAGTCTTTTATTTTATTTTAATAAAGCTTTTATTCCTGTAGTTAAGAGCACAAAGTATTGCTTTTGCCTCCTCCAGTAGTTACATTGCAAAGTTTTTACCATGGCTTTCAAGGCTTTTGTGATGTGGCTCCTAGAGCTAGATCTTTACTTTCCCACTAATTCTGTATAGCCATGTGGGCCTTCTTTTTCTTCCTCAAATACACCAAGAACACTGCCATCTTATGGCCTTTGCATTTGCTGTTTTCTCTTTGTGAAAACACTTCCCCAGGTGTCGTATAGCCAGCTCTACTGTATGCCATACTTGTAGGTCTCTGCCATACTTGTAGGTCTCTGCTCAAGTGTTACCTCCTTAGAGGAGGGCTCATGATTACCTCATTTAAAATGACTCCTTCCTTCTTTCCCTCTTTGATTTTTTTATGATACTTTTCATTACCTGTCATTACTTATTTTTGTTTATTGTATTCTTATTATTTAAGAATGAAAGTACCATGAAGACAAAGACTGTACTGTTAATTGTTGATTCCCCAGCGACTAGTATGTTGCCTAACACACAGTAGGTTATAACTTAATATTTGTTGAATAAATGAATGAATGAATGGAATACAGTCAGCCCTCCCTATGTTGCCTAGCACATAGTAGGTTCTTACTTAGTATTTGTTGAATGAATGAATGAATGGAATACAGTCAGCCCTCCCTATCTTCAGGTTCTGTATTAGCTGATTCAGCCAACTGTGGATCAAAAATATTCAGGGGAGGGGTGGGGGAACAATAAAAAATAATAAAGAATAAAAAGATACAAACAAAAATACAGTATAACAATTTACATAGGATTTAAATTGTATTAGGTATTATAAGTAATCTAGAGATGGTTTCAAATATGTGGGAGGATATACCTGGGTAATATACAGGTATATGCAGTCCTATACAGACGAGCACCTGTCAGTTTTGGTACCTGTGGGCTTCCTGGGACCAATCCCTTGTGGATACCAAGGGCTGACTATATTTTACCCTATCAATAAAAACTCATTTGAAATGATCATTTAAATGAAATATAGTGTGTCATGTATTTCTCTGACTCAAAGGTATAATTTATGTTTTTTTTTTTTTTAGATTTTGATCTTGGCCCCTACAAGAGAAATTGCTGTACAGATACATTCTGTTATTACAGCCATTGGAATAAAAATGGAAGGCTTGGAGTGTCATGTCTTTATTGGAGGGACCCCATTATCACAAGACAAAACCAGACTTAAAAAGTGTCATATTGCTGTTGGATCTCCTGGTAAGATAACAATGCCTGTTGGTAACCAGGGCTTTTAAGGAACTAAACACTTTTATTATAAAAATAAAGATATATGGGAATCTTTGATAACTGTGATAATTATTTTGGTTAGAAATGAAGAGCATTAGACTGGTGAGATATAGGCACATGACTGGTTTATCAGTGGAATTTATGAAATTTCCATTCCTATGGATGTTTCAGAACATGTGAGATAGTCCTCTGAGAAGAAACGTGATGACTTTCAGGAGGCCCTTCTAAGCAATGGACTGGGATTATTCTTTGGCTTCTCTATTGTATTTGGTTGTGAATCACTCAGAATTACAGTCTTGCATTCAGTGCTTTAGGTTTTTTGTTAGGATTGGTGTTTATTTACAGGTGATGAAATGTGAGGGGAAAACAGTGAGTTTAGGCAAGATCAGAGTTCAAGATTTCTAATTTGTGGTTTAGTGTGAACATGTATAATGAGAGTTGAATCAGGAAATTCAGCAGAACAGCTTGTGAATAAGTAGAGTAACAACATTGGCTGAGATTTACACAAATTTGGTACATCATAAATATTTCAATTTTTTTTTTTTTAAATTAGGCAGAATTAAGCAACTCATAGAACTTGACTACTTGAACCCAGGCAGTATACGCCTCTTTATTCTTGATGAAGCAGATAAGCTTTTAGAAGAAGGAAGCTTCCAGGAGCAAATAAAGTAAGAAAAATAACTAACTTGACTATTAAAACAGTGTCCCAAAGTATCTAGCTTTTCCGAGTGGTGATTATTGTCTGAATAATTTACATGATATATGTTTTTATTTTGCAGTTGGATTTATTCTTCCTTGCCTGCCAGTAAACAGATGCTGGCAGTATCAGCTACTTACCCTGAATTTTTAGCTAATGCTTTGACAAAGTACATGAGAGATCCCACTTTTGTAAGACTGAATGCCAGTGATCCAAGTCTCATAGGTATGTGCAGCTTTTAGCTACTTTATTAGTTTGTGATATTCTGGAGCTTTTCCTTGCTTAGTTGTCTGTTGCTGTTTTGTGATATCCATTAGGTTATAGCATATATGTTTGTTTTAACTGACAACTCTTTTTTGTAGGTTTGAAGCAGTATTACAAAGTTGTCAATTCTTACCCTTTGGCACATAAGGTTTTTGAGGAAAAGACTCAGCATTTACAGGAACTATTCAGCAGAATTCCATTTAATCAAGCTTTAGTCTTCTCTAATTTGCACAGCAGGTAATGTAATTTAAAAGACCATCTGGGGAACTTGTGAAATAAAAGGATAGGCATGGGGCAATATTTGTAAATTTGTAACCATTTATGTTCTGTTTCATAGAGCACAACATTTGGCTGATATCCTTTGTTCTAAAGGCTTTCCTGCTGAGTGCATTTCAGGTAAGTTAATCTCTTACTTTAATCTTTATTTAGTATACTGACTTGAAGCCTCCAAAGTCAGGAAGAAGAAATGCCACTTTATGAGTTGTCTTCTGAGTGTAAAATTATCATGTATTTTTTAGAGTAAAGGAATTTTCAGGCTTATTTTTCTTTGGAATTTGATACATCAATATCCTTCTATTTTTAAGGAGTAACTTGGTGTATGGTAAAAAGTTTGAAAACTAGTGTTCAGAGAGTTGTAATTTTATATCTCTGAGTATAACCACAAAGAACTTAGTTCTATAAAACCAAGTATGTCTGTGTTGTGTTAAGATAAAAATGTTTTTCTTTAGAAAAAAATTTTTTTTTTTTTTTAATAATCACTGTTGAGATGCTGGAGATTGCAAACTGAATTGACTGTTTATGGTTTTGTGGAAGGCAGAGTGATTGACTTCTTGCCACAAAGTTAAATGTTTACTGCTGGCATAATGAAAGAGTCAAAGGATTTTTTTGATCAGTGAGATCCTTTTTAGAGTTTTGTTTGGTGTTAGCTTAGTTTTTGACTTTTTTAAAAATTTTTAAATTTTTTTTTTTTTTTTTGGTAAAGATGGGGTTTCATCATATTGGCCAGGCTGGTCTTGAACTCCTGACCTTGTGATCTACCCTCCTCATCCTCCCAAAGTACTGGCATTATAGGCGTGAGCCACTGTGCCCCGCCTGTGTTAGTTTAGTTTTTAACCTGTTGGCTTGAGCTTGTTTAGTTATGGTATATCATGAGATAACTGGGGAGACTATTTTCTAATGAACCAATATTTTAACTATAGATCACACTTTAACACCAAATTATAAACAGCTGATTTAAAAGCATTTTTATTTTCCTAAGAATTGCTAGTTATACTTCATATGTAACTGCAAATAGAATTTATATGCATGGCCTGATTACTATTTAAAATTGATTTTGAATTTCAAGTTGATTGCCTAAACCATATTTTAAAAGATTCTGACTTTGGATCGTAACCTAGATTTGCAACAGAAGGACAGAATTAACTGTGGTTGGTGTGTTAAAAGTGTTAAGACTGGGCGTTATGATTTTTACTTTTTGTGGATATGATAAATATGTATTAGCTTAGTTGTTTTTATATGACTTTCTTTTGGGGTCCTTTTAGGCAATATGAATCAGAATCAGCGTCTTGATGCTATGGCTAAACTGAAGCAGTTTCATTGCAGAGTCCTCATTTCCACAGATTTGGTAAATTTCCTGTTTAGTTTGTGTGACTAATCCATCTTGACATATGTTCTTTTATCAGATGTACAGCTTTCATCTATTATTTTATGTAGGTGTATCTACAAGAATACCAGAAGATAATTATCTTTCTAGTGCTGAGGGAAATGCTTTCTTAAAAATGTCTTTAATATGTTGATCTTTGTCCTTGAAATTATTCATTCGGAATGAATTTCCTTTTCCTCTGCTCCTCAATATTCTGTGCTTAATTTGGCACTTGGCTATACTGGAAGAATATAATATGCATTGGTAGCCATGCTGTACAGTCAGTGCAAACAGATAATTACTATCTTCTTCAATTCAAGACTTCCCGTGGGATTGATGCTGAGAAGGTGAATCTGGTTGTAAATCTGGACGTACCATTGGATTGGGAGACATATATGCATCGGATTGGCAGAGCTGGCCGTTTTGGTAAATAAAGTTTCAGTTCTTTCTTTAAGGAGAGGAATCTATAATGACAGGTGGGCTTTGAATGTTATTTTTGTGAAAATGATTTACTACCTAACATTCTCTCTGCTTTAGGTACCTTGGGACTGACAGTGACCTATTGTTGCCGGGGAGAGGAAGAAAATATGATGATGAGAATTGCCCAGAAATGTAATATCAACCTTCTCTCTTTACCAGGTACATTTAATCTGTTTCATTTTGCTGTCAAAATAATTATAGTGGTGATAAGCATAATAAAAATATTAATAGCAAACACAGAGTGCTTATGATGTGCTGGATACTGTTCCCAGTCCTGTATGTACATTAACTCATTTCTCACCACACTCCTATGAAGTGTGTGTGATTCTTTTGTAGATGAGGATATTTAGGCATAGAGAGGGTAAGTAAAGGTGTTAAAGCTAGCAAGTAGCAGGGAGAGGAGTGCAAGCTAACCACTGGCACATGAAAAAAGAGCTGGCTGGGCACAGTGGCTCACGCTTGTAATCCCTGTACTTTGGGAGGCCGAGACGGGTGGATCACCTGAGTTCAAGACCAGCCTGGTCAACATGGTGAAACCCCGTCTCTACTAAAAAATACAAAAAATTAGCTGGGTGTGGTGGCAGGTGCCTATAATCCCAGCTGCTCGGTAGGCTTAGGCAGGAGAATTGCTTGAACCCAGGAGGTGGAGGTTGCAGTGAGCCGAGATTGCACTATTGCACTCCAGCCTGGGCAACAAGAGTGCAACTCTGTCTAAAAAAAAAGGGGGGTGGGGGGGAAGAAAAATGAGAGCTGTATTAGCTCTATTTTATTTGTTAGTGGCTTTGCAATTTGATTTTATTCTTTGATATGAGGAGGGATATTTTACCTCTTTTAGGTTGCTGTGAGGTTAATTCTTGCCATATTCTCCTTTGTTGCCATGCGGAAGGAACAGCATCTTTAATTTGAATACTATTTTGAAAACTTTGAGTGAAAATTTTTTTTTTTTTTTAAATTTCAGTTCAGTCATTTGTCCCGCTTCTTAAGTGCCATCTTGGAAACAGTGCATGTTTAAAACTATTAATGATCTCTTAAAAACAAAAAATTCTAAAAAACTCTTTGAGTGGAAATATGGCATGTTTGATGTGCATGTTATACAGAAAATGTGCACTATAAATAGTGTATATTTATATATAGATGTATGTATATATAGATATATACACATACAGCATATACATGACCTTGTAGAATATGGGATATATAGTTATTGAATAAATTGAGTATTTTACTGATTTTATATTTAATTTATGAAGCTAGATTAAGTATAGAACTGAAAGTCCTGTGTATTCTAGTAGATCTGGGTTAGTAATAACTTTTTTCCTCTTTTACAAATCTCTGTAATTGCTCTAAGCTTAGAGTCCTGATTTGCAAAGTATCATAGAGTAGATGGTCTTTAGGCTCTATATCAGTTCTAAAACTGTCAGTTCTTTCTGTGAAGTTTATTGGTAGTCTGATGTGAGAAAAAAATAGAAAATTGGTAGAAGGGGGTTAAGGCTTTTTGTAGGATTCAGTATCATAGCATCTAGTGATAAAAATAAAAATTACCTTTGGATACTGGAAAATGATATATTTGGATCTTTATGTAATGTTAACAGAGGCCTGAAATCATAAGAAAATAATACTTATGCTGTTAGGTCTATATTGGACTGGGAACTTGTGTAACAATAGATGTTCAGATGAGTTTCCTGGGGCAGAACTAGGAGGGAAATTGACCTGTATTATAGGAGTAGGTGAGCAAGGGATATTACCTGAGTAGGAATGAGAGTTTTAATCATAGAACCTCTTCAGCAAAGGATCAAGAGACTTCACTGTAGTATCTAGACCCATGGGATTTATAGGTAACATGGAGCATAAATAGCAACAAGCAAGATCTTCGTAAAGCAGGGGCTTGATATATCTTGTCTGTGTAAGATAAAAATTGATCACACTTTGAAAGGTCTGATTGCTGGAAGCAAACTGTCACACCTGGATGGAACAGGAAATTTAGAGGATTGAAGCCAGCAAATTTTTTAAAAATTAGAAATGTCATTGGTGCCACAGATCTTTTTAAAGTAAGCTACTTTTTTTCCCCTATAGAGGTTTTCTCTCTACTGTTAAGGGCAGTGATTTTTCTCTGTTGGAGTATTGGGTGAAAGATATAGTTGGGTGTAAAGAGTTGCAGTTGTAATATTTCGTAGATAAGCTTTGGGGAGCACAATCCATTTTTTAGTATCTTGTTTTGTTGTCAGAGTATTGAGATAAGGGGAGGGGCTGTGGAGAGGGAGGAGAGAAAAGATGGGAGAGTTGCTGCAGACTCTTGTACATTACTCCTAGAGCAAGCTCTTTTTCTAGTGGGGGTGAGGGGAGACAGTGCTTGTGAGTATGGGATGGGTCTTATGTATTTCTTAGGCAGATTTCTCTATTACAAGATTGCTTCAGTCTTTAAAAATATTAATATATTTATTAAACATCTTAGTATATTTGCATATTTTGTTAAATATATTTGATCATAGAAAACTTTATGAAATCGTGAAAAACAATGGTCAATGGTAGCTTGAGAATTTTAATACACTTTTCTTCCTTTTTGTGTAGATCCCATTCCTTCTGGTCTGATGGAAGAATGTTTGGATTGGGATGTGGAGGTTAAAGCTGCTGTGCATACATATGGCATAGCAAGTGTACCTAACCAACCCCTAAAAAAGCAAATTCAAAAAATAGAGAGACCCCTTCAAACTCAGAAATCTCATGGTAACCACATGGCTTCCTCTAGAAATACTTCTGTGTCTGCACTATCAGTCAAATCAAAAAATAATACCAAACAAAAGCTTCCTGTGAAAAGCCACTCAGAGTGTGGAATCATAGAAAAAGCAATGTTACCAAAAGAACTGGGCTGTGCCATACAATCTGAAGAGCAAATGAAGAATTCGGTTCAGACCCCCATTGAAAGCTCCACCAACAGTCAGCACCAGGTCAAAGAAGCTTTACCTGTGTCACTCCCCCAAATTCCTTGTCTGTCTTCCTTTAAAATCCATCAGCCATACACTTTGACTTTTGGTGAATTGGTAGAGGATTATGAACACTACATTAAAGAGGGATTAGAGAAACCTGTGGAAATCATCAGGCACTACACAGGTCCTGGGGATCAGACTGTGAATCCTCAAAATGGTTTTGTCAGAAATAAAGTTACTCAACAGAGAGTCCCCGTATTGGCAAGTAGTAGCCAATCTGGAGACTCTGAGAGTGACAGTGATTCTTACAGTTCAAGAACTTCTTCTCAGAGCAAAGGAAATAAGTCATACTTGGAGGGCTCTTCTGATAATCAGCTGAAAGACTCTGAATCTACTCCTGTGGATGATCATATTTCTTTGGACCAACCTTCAAATGGAAGTGACACCCCCAATCCAGAGGAATATCAAGAATCACCTGAAATCCAGATCAAATCAAGACAGAAAGAGGGGGCTAGCCAGAGAGCTAAGCAGAGCCGGAGAAACCTACCCAGGCGGGCTTCTTATAGATTGCAGACTGAAGCCCAGGAAGATGGTTGGTATGACTGTCATAGGGAAACACATCCGAGTTTTTCTGATAGCTATCAGGATTATGAGGATTACTGGAAAGCTTACTATAGGGCATGGCAAGAATATTATGCTGCCGCTTCTCAGTCATATTACTGGAATGCTCAGAGACATCCAAGTTGGATAGCAGCCTATCATATGAATACCATTTATCTACAAGAAATGATGCATAGTAACCAGTGATTATAGGATATACCTGAGACCATCAGGAACTGTCAACAAGTGATACCTTTGGATATCCATCCTCCTCGATCTCTAGTACAGTGGTATATAGTGGCATTTCTGATAAACTTGAAGAGATGTGAGGCTTTCTACTGGGACACATCTATTTTTCAAATTGTTTTGATTTAGGACAGGTATATTAATTTTAATTTAAGAGTTTTTTTTTTTTTTTAAACTTCATCAGATTCTTGAAAGTTAAATTTTGGGACATAGAGCTGAACGTTTCAGGGTGCCATTTTCTATAAGATCTTCCCAAAAGAAACATTTAAAAACATGACATATATACCACTGGTTACTTAAAAACAATAAAAACAATAGATTTGAGAAGTAATGGTAGTTCGCTGTGGAGTTCTTTACAAAGGGCTTGGGCTGCATTTCCTTCTATAGAGGTGCCTTGTAGAAATTTGTAGCATGGTAGATCAGAAAATCCTCTTGTTTTAGGTTTAGGCAGGAGGGAATAAACATTGCTTTACATTTTCCTAAAGGTATTTGATTTGATCTGTTTGCTTCCAGTAAAAATAATTGTTTTTAGTAAAAACAAATTCAGTTAAACATGTTTACATGTTTATTGTTTATCTTTTGAATGTCTTTTCTTGTGAAAGCTGTCCACATTTTTACTGTGAATGTAAATAGCTGAGGGTCATCAGTGGCTGTCTTATTTATGTTGCTCAGATAGAGGGGCAGCTCTTAATCTTTTGGTTCTTAGATCCTTTTATCAATTAGCTGAAAGCAATAGATTGACCCCAGGTTATTTCTCATTCCATAAATACAGAATTGTGAATGTAATTTCAAGGGGTTCCTAGACCCTCTGAAGTTCATCTGTACAGTCCAGGTTAACAAGTGACCTGCTCTGCTGGTAGGCTCTGAGTTTTAAGTATTTATTGGAAGCTGGAATTGATTGTCTTCAGATAGTTCTCAGTGCATCCTAATCTTGTGTCTTCTAGAAAATTCTCCCCAGTTTTTACTGCTAGAATCCAAGAGGAGCTATTGTTTTTCTCAGCTGATGTGTCTGTAAATTATGATTTAGAAAAATATAATTGGAAATTACATATTCTTTCCTTTTTTTCCTTTGGAAGTCCTTTCATGATTAAGCTTTTGGTTCCCAAACCTTTTTGTGAACTGGATTTTTGGTGAGAGAACTGCTTATGTATAGAGATGTGTATTCACTTTTTAAAAGGAAAGCTCTTCTTTCTTGTGTACGTACTTGTCTAAGTAGTATAAAACACTTTCCCCAGGGCTGTTGGCAAACACCCACAGCAATTGTCATTTATTGTCCAGCACTTAGATAACACAATTCTAAATTCCTATTTAACTTGGATTCCTGTCATTTGGATTGGGCAGTGTTAGGCTTTTCTTACATCTGTCAGTATTTTACATTAATTAATAATGTAGATAGCAAATCCATAATTAGGTCCAGTATGTCATTAAGTAGAGATTTTAATTACACATTTAAATAAGACCCTGTCATTGATACATAATTGAATTTACTTTTTCTATCCTTTCCCCTACAATATAGCCAATTTCAGTTTGTCATTGCTAGGGGATTTTAATTAGGGTACTACTGCATCTTAATTAGAGATGAGGTTACCTACCCATTAGTCTTCAAATTAATTGGATTCTCTCTTTTGTGTTTGCGTTTTTTTTTCCCCCACTGAAAAATAAGCTGGAGGTGAGCATATGTATAACATACAAAAATACTAATTGTTTCAATTTCCACAAGCATTTACCAGGAATATGGCAGCTGCCAAATTCTTAAATAACAGAGGTAGCTATAGTGGTGGATGTGAAAGAATCTTCCCCAGGCTACTATTTGTTTGTGACTTATCTTAGTGTGGGAAAGATTATTTTTTTTTAATTGTCAATCTAGGTGCACCTTTCCATAATCTGTCAGGAACCATTGAAAAGGGTACTTGTCCTGGTTGAGACTGCTACTACCTACTTTTTAACCTTGTACCAGTCACTTAACCTCTCATGGTCCAGTTTTCTCATCAATAAAATGAAAGTTGGACTAGGAGATTTTTAGGATCCCTTCTAGTTCTAAGATTTAATCATTTTATGACTTATGCCGAAGAAAAGATAGTTTCTAGTTAAGGAAAAGGATAATCAAATTTATAAATACAGAAAGCCTTTATAAATTCAAGTAATGTGGATGAAGGCTACTGTGAATTGGTTAAATGTCTGAATTTGTGAATACTTTTAAATCAATACACTTACTGCAACTATTCATGTTAAGTTGTAACTTGAATTAGGCTGGTAATATTAACATGTAGAGAGATCTTAGAAACCTGCTACTTTGAATAATTCTGACTTAGAATATCAATTATTTTGGGTGATTAAAAGTAATATTTTCTCAAGTAGCTTAGGTATTACAGTAATATTTGTTAACCTTTTTAAAATGTGGTTTAAAGGCAAACTTCGGCCCCAGAATACTAAAAATAATTGAACATAAATTATAGTACTTGTGGATCACTCTGAGACAAGGGAGTACTTTGAAGTTTTAGGTTCTCTTTTCCCTATTCCCTTAAAATCTATGTTAGACTTTTAAAAGTATGTATTTTTGATAACCATTGCTGACAGTAGAACTCCATCACAAGGTTATTCACTTGTTTTGGCAGAATATGTTTATTTTTTTGTACCCCTGTGCACAAGCACATTCACTTGACATTTAGTGTGTGTTAATGAAAAAGAACTCGAACTGCTCAATGCCCATCTGGTTTCCAGTTACAGCATTTTCTACCCAACAATTATTTGGGCTGTGGGTCTGCAGTGACACCTAGTGGGGGATAAGGATGTGAGCATCAATAATTAAAATGAATTTCACAGCTAACTCCTGGGGCCTTTGGGCATCATGTATTTGTTTTAATGCTCTATTTCTATTACTGTTTTCATCAGGATCTGGTTGTTGTGGGGAAATTAAAAGGATTCTCCTCATTGCCACATGGTGGAACAGACTACCGGTTGGTCTCATCACCTAAGTCAGAATTGTCAAGGTTGGAACAGATTTTCAAGATAACTAATCCAATCCCCATTTTTTATTTTTTGGTTTTTTGGAGATGAGAGTCTTACTGTGTTCTTCAGGCTGGACTAGAACTCTTGGGCTCAAGGGATCCTCCTGCGTTAGCCTGCCAAGTAACTGGAACCACAATTACATGCCATTACAATTCTCCATTTTTAAAAAGAGGAAACTAATGAAGCCAGGAGGGAGTTACTGATGTGAAGTCACAATTAAGTGCTAAAACCTAAACTTGAATTCTGCCATCTCATTGCCAAGCTTTCTATAATATCCCATACAGCATTTAATTTTGAGTTTTCTTTTTAGTTTGAGAACTTGGTACTCAGTAGAACCAGTATTGATACAGAGTCAGATTTTCTTTCAGTAATATGGGATCAGTCTTCAAAATAGAGCAGTTGATAAATAAAACCAAATGCTTTACCTGTTAGACAGTGAACATCCATAAACAGCATACAAGCAGGCAGGAACCATCAGGGATATCATAGAGGAATTGTTTACGTTTACATTGAGGGATGGGATGGGAAGATTACAATAGGCCTTTAATAACCCTTCTAAGAGTCTAAATTTTCTTTAGCAAGGTAGAAAGCCAATCTTTGTTCAAATTATTTTCTAGTATATACCAGCACCTTTGGGAGGAAAGGAGATTCAGTATTCAAAGAAACAGTCATTTTAGGGTTTGTGGCACATAGTTTGTTTAATCCATATTGGATACATCAGGTACAGCAGTACTGACTCAATACTGTAAATGATATACATGTTTTAACATATGCACTACAGTTTCAAAAGAAGACAACAGGAAACTCAAGAGTTTTTTTTTTTTTTCATAGAAAGTTTTCATGTTTTATCTTCCTGCAGTTTTGTACAGTATATTTCTTCTTTGCCATTGTGATGTTGATAAGCAAAGCCCATTTATTATATGAAAATAGAAAAGAACACACTTGATGTGTCTCACGATGACATTAATGGGGGGAGGGTGTGACCTCTAAGGAAAACATTACACTGGAATGTCTGATTATCAAAAATATACCATCCCTCCCACCTCCCAGGTTTGTAAAATAGTCCATTGGTCCAAGGAGCCCCCCAGGACTTGGGTCAGTGCCCTACACTGGTTAGAGTGACATCATCCAGTGTAGTTGTGTAACCTGCTAAGATAAATGTCATTCCCACACTTGAGAAAAAACATAGGACATTCTGAATAGAAAACAAGACTTAAAAGGAACCCCTTTAAAGCTGTTTCATTTTCTGATAGCCACTTTCTCTTAGTTTTAATGATGCTCTTTATGATGCTATTTGGGCTCCATCCAAGGGTTATGGGTCATAATAATGTTTTTCCTTCATTTAGTCATTTTAAAGCTTTGCAAATAATGAGATTTCATTAGGAAATCAGAAAGGGAAAATAAACGTTTGTCATGGTTACCATACCAAGTAGTAGTGTAGAAAGGAAATGAATATTGCCTTAAGTTCGCAGCATTGGGATATTTTTGCCTTATAGTTACCTGGTAATTGAAGTGGGGGAGACTTGACAACTGGAATTCATTAATAACCTCAAAATCTAGTGTTAGCTCAACTTTCAACCACTACCTCTGCAAAACTTAAACAAGGAAAAACTCTTAAGTACATAATGTCTCAGTGGCCACTTTCCTTGTCTACAATCTAACAAGTAAGTGATATTCTGAACTGTAGGAATCATATTTTGAAAACTGGATAAAATCATCAGCATATCCACAAGTTGATGTTTTTGTTAATCATTGATGGGAATTAACTGTCCACTTTAAGTTCTGTTCAAATTCTGTGTGACTGTAAACTAATGTGTTCAACTGTCACTGAGAGTATCTATTGGTCTTTTGAAAGGGAGTCTATGCAATTAGTCCTGAGCTTGGCACTAGTTATGGAAACAGGACGAAGGACAAATAGTACAGAATTTGTTTCTAGAGATCTGGTTCAAGGTGGTTCTCAATTGAATGCTTCCCTCCCCCAAGTCACCACCCTGGAAATCCAGGTATTAAAAATATAAGCAAGCTTCAGAGCAGTGCAACATAATGTGGAGGAAAAATACTAGGACAAGATGTCTTCAGTCCTGGATTGCAATAATGGTTCTGCCACTAACTTGCCATGTGAACTTGTATAAATCATTCAGTTTCTTTCCACATGTTTTCCCCTCTTTGAATCAAGGATTTAGCTACTTTACCTACTACCATCACAGACTGTAGTAAGGACCACAAGGAGTATAAAAGGTATGTTTCAAAATGTCATTGTCCTAGCCTTCTATTCATTGAGAAGAGAAAATATTTGACTGAAAAAAACTTGACTCTTGTTCACTGATTTCTGACAAAATTGAAAGTCCATAGATGGTTCTGTCCAGAGAATGGAGGTTTCCAAAGTATGGTTTGTATTGGTACAGTCAGGTGATTTCCAAGGGCTGTGTCCAAGTAGTATTGACATTTATGTAAGGCTCTGTCTGTAATTACAGTATGGGTTCTTTGATGGATCTTCTCCAAAGCATCATTGCTCTGAGAGGCAGTGGGTGTGGTCGAAAATGCATTAGACTGATAGCCAAAAGACTTGTGGTTTGGTCTCAGCTCTGTCATTAAGTGACTGCATGACCTTGAACAAGTCATTTAATTTCTCTGGGTCTCAGTTTTGTATCCTATAAAATGAATGAGATATTCTTAAATATCTTCTAGTTCTGCTGTGCTCTTAGTACTATATTTTCTAGGTTCCCATTAATTTCACATTTGAATGTAGCTATTAGGTTTCTTTTTTCTTTCTTTCTTTTTTTTTTTTTTTAACACCCTCCCTCCCTTAATGCTGAATGGGATTGAATAGAATAGGTGGTTTCGAGAATCTTTTATTATGTCAAAGTGGCTCATGAACTATCAAAGCTCAAGAGTCATTGCACCAGAAAGCTATTGGCCCCCAGAAAACCCTGATATCCTGGTATTTCAGTCACTGACCAATGAGTTATACTTATGAAACCGATTCAGCATACTTTGGACCTTGTGTTTTCTTACAATACCCTTTAGCAGTGTCATCTGGCTGTGTTCTGTAGTGTAGATGAGCCATTTTCCAAAGGTTGACGACATTTTTTGAACCAGAAGTGAGCTGAATCTTCTACCTCTGGCTAAGGCTACAAGGGAGGATGGAGAAAAAGGGGATGCTCTAATGGTCTTTCAGGAAGTGGCGTGATGTGGGGTCTGAACAGGAAATAGAAGGAACACAAAACATTCTGTTCATTAGGATCAATAAAAAACATGGAAAATTGCTTGTGACATGATATTTAACATTTATTAATTTTTGTGGGAACCAGTAAAATGTTCCTTTGGTGCCCTATCAAACAGATCCTTTGTTGAATCTGTCATTATTCTAATCCTGTAATGACCTGTTCTTAAATTCATCACAGGCAGTTTGTGTGTATGCAACCACAGTCCAGTTTACCTCTTTTTTTTTTTTTTTTTTTTTTTTTTTTTGAGACTGAGTCACTCTCTGTTGCCTGGGCTGGAGTGCAGTGGCTCGATCTTGGCTCAATGCAACCTCTGCCTCCCGGGTTCAAGCAATCTTCCCACTCAGCCTTCCAAGTAGCTGGAATTACAGGCTCCCACCACCATGGCTGGCTAATTTTTGTATTTTTAGTAGGGATGGGATTTCACCATGTTGACCAGGCTGGTCTTGAACTCCTGACCTCAGGTGATCTGCCCGCCTTGACCTCCCAAAGTGCTGGAATTACAGGCGTGAGCCACCATGCCTGGCCCCATTTACCTCTTTATCTCTTACCCCAGTCAGATCTTACGAAGTATAACTAAGATACTTAGACACTCCTAATTTTGCTCTATTACTCTTTTTTAAGAGAAAAATTCTTTTCTAGTCATTTGCCTGCTCTCTAAGTGAAGTTTAGCCTGGTCTTCTAATGAGATGTGTATATGAAAGTGAATTGATTTAAGTCTGTATTCTCTAATGTGTTTAGGTTGGTTGTTTGTATACACGTGTGCTCTGCAGTTGTAAAGCCTTTCTACCTTCTTAGTCTGTAAGCTCAGAGGGCAAGAACCACTCCATTCCCACATCAGGGGGAAATCCTTGAGGCCAGACTCAGAGAAAGAACTCAGCTCGTGGTCAATGAGGATAAGAATAAGGAGATAAAGATAGAAAGAAGGCTCCCTCTCCTCTGCCTTCTGCCCACATTCTGGTTAGGTGCCACCTCAAAACCTTTTGACTTTCTCTGCCTACACGGTCAATCGAGCTGGGGTCATAGGGAAGCCCATGAAGGGTGTTTTTAGGTTCCTGGCTAGTGAAACTCATTTACATGTCTGTGGTGGGCAGAGAAATCCTTGGCCTACAATTAGACAGCTAACCACTAAGCTGTAGGATGGATAGGCAGCTCCTGAGGACCTCATGTATTTCAGAGCCCAGGCTACAGAGACTGCAGCAAGGTGGCTGGGGGCTGGGAAGGGCAGGAAAGGACTTGTCACTAACCCTGAGGCCCACCTACTCTGCTATAAGCAGTGAACAATGATTAGGAGGATTCCAGAAATGCTATCCCCAGCTCCACCAGAGTGCAAGCTAGTTGAACGGACACGTTGTCCAGGTGTTCAAGAAATAAGCTTCACTCCTTTGCTTGCACAGAGGTGATTAGGCTTCTCCCTCATTTCAGCTATCTTCAGGGAGATCAGGCTGAAGCCCCTTCAGACATCAAGGCGTCTTTCATAGCAGGTAAGAATATCTAGTATCTCTTACTTGCTTTCATGCTTTGAGGCATTTTTCATGAGGCACACAGGCTTACCCTTCCAACAGCTTCTGTGTGGGAGTTGCCTCCGGTGTGACATAAGTCAGAGGAATCTTGGTCCTCATACCACTGCCCTTTCTAGAGGAAACTACTCCCAGGGCCTCTTGGAAGGGCTCTTGGATGGGCTTTATGGCGGGTCCTGAAGGAAGGGTCCATAGCAAGGTACCATAATGACTGGCTGCAGCTGCGAGCCCTGGGTTCTTCTGTTCTCCCCTCACTGGCACATACCAGAGTTGACCGCTTCTCAGGTGTTGGCAATTTGCCTTTTCAAGATTCCGGTGTGATTACTCTGGTCATTCCCTTTCTTTCCCAGAAACTGAAACTGAAAACACCAGTGGTTCCAACCCCAAGGGAAGGACCTCTGTTCTGTGAGGTAGACTTCCCTCACCCCTAAACTCCCAATTTTTGCTTCACTCTGTCTTCCTCTGCAATTGCATTCGCACAGAAAGAACTCCCAGGCACAAGTCTGTTGTGCGTGGCAATGATGAAGAAGGCTTTACTGATGTGTTTCAGGATCATGGGATCCAGGTAGAGACAGATGGCTGGACACAGAAACAGCCAGGGGTAAGCACAGAGGTACAGAGACAAGGGAGACGGACAGACGGAGGGTAAGGATTGCCGTGTGGTCACTTGGCAGCTCTGTGCAGGTCAGCTGGGCAGTGGGGGCCCAGGCTCAGTTGACCTCACCCACCTGGGGGAATGGAGAGAGAACTCAGCAATAACTGACTTCTTAGCCTAAAAGCTTTTGCTATAAAAGGAGAAAAAAAAAATCCCTCACAAAATTCATTGTTTTGGTTCAAAGGTGTTGGGTCCATGGAGAAAAACACTTCACAAAAATCCGTTGGTGTTTTTGTTTTCCACCTTTTCCCATGAATAAATATTATCCATTAAGAGCCTTGAAAAAGGTGCTTAAATACACAGTGTTATATTTTCTTCCTGTTTTGCTTGTGACAACTTGGCCTTGTTGCTGCTCTTGGTCTTGTATTTTCCTCACTGGGGTCTCCAGAAACGATTGTTATTTGGTCTGAGTCTGAGGCTCCTCCATCCAGGCCCTGTCCTGGCACATAGCCTACATCCCCCACTGGCACATCCCTGACCCCCCCACCCTCCCTCCCTTCCTCTGGCCCCAGTGAGATGCAGTATCACAGGGCTATGTCCACGCTAGCAGCATGAACCTCAGGTGCCCCTTTTCTGCCTCTTTTTCCTTCCAGGCACAAGTCTCAGTGCTAGGGATACAATGAGGCAGGCAGAAATAGTGGGGAAAGGGGGAGGGAGTGGTCCCAGTGGCCACCCACCAACATGCCAGTCCCCTTCATTCCCCACTACCCCCTCTGGCCCTCTGTCCAGTGGTTTTACAAGGCGGAGACCTTGACAACATTGCTGGCTATGGAAGGAATGTTCGTGTTGGGGCCTGGGCTGGCAGGGGTTGGCCGACTTTCCCCCTCTGGGGTTAGCGCTGGGGGGGTGGGGATGCTGATGATGGCTGTGGTGATCTGGGATGTTTTGCAGTTTGGTCTCAGTCCGTCGTCTGCTTTCAAATTAAGGCTGGAGCGACTGGGATAGAAGAGAGTGAGTTGATGATGGTTTCTGCTGGCCAGCGTCCCAAACCTTCCTTGACCCCCTACATTTCTTGCTCATGGTAACTAGGAGGATATTTTGTTGTCCCTCTTTCTCTGCCTTTTGTAATCAACTTGTAATTACCCATTCTAAGTATTATTCCTAAACTACTAGCAATTACAAAGGTGGGTATATTGGACTTTGAATTTCAGAGTGTACATTTCCCCCACCCAGTGATTGTTTACCTATCATTTGTGGCATTTGGCATTTGCATTCCCTGAATTCTCTGCAACCCATTTGCAGGTAGTGGGAAGTGGCCTAAATATAAGCAGAGAGGGAGGGAAAAGTCAGTCTCTGGGATTCAAAACCAGCCTAGGCTAAGCCATGAGTAACACAAATATGAAAATTGTTTCTTCAGAAAATGATTGGTCCATTCCTTGTACCAGAGCAGGTTATTTTTGTGTATCTATAGACACATTATTTTACATGTGTGTGTGTATATATATATATATATAATTCTTTTTAAATATTTTTTCCCCTGTTATCTAATCCCATTTTCAGCCTAAACTGCTGTAGTACCTACTCTAACAGCACACGAAGGGCCTTTGGGTTACCTTGCAAGGAAAGGAGGAAGGTAGAGGGGCTCATGCATTAGATAAGGAGAACGCCTAGATGATCCTCAAGGTTCTCCTAATGCTGCGATTGTCTAGTTCTGTGATGACTCGAGCCTTTGAGGGTGATGGGATGGAAGCCACCCACCTGGTAGTGAGGGAGGGCTGCTCACTGCCCTGGATGTGGATCGTGCTGAGCTCTTGCATGCTACGCAGGCGAGTAGCTGGCAGGTTAGAATTGGGCAGGTGTGTGGTCTTCTTACTACGACGGGAGCAGCAGGTGGTAGTGAGGCCTGCGTGGCTGGACAATGAGGGACTTCTTGTGGACGGATAGTTCTGCATTGAACTCTCCATGCAGTTCTGCTCAAACATCTGCTCATCAATAAACTCATGGTTCTGTGGGAGGCAGAAGGAGAAGAAGTAGGAAAAGAAGGTAGGGAGGAGAGAGGTGAGCTCCTATACTCTGTATGCTGCCTGTCTCTGTTCTGGACCTTTAAGGAAGGCCTCCCAGCTGCCTGGATTACAGATAAGCATTTAAGAGGGGTGATGTCCCATGGGCATCCAATGAGGACAGAAAGAGAATCATATTGGCAGCCTTGGGCATCAGCTCAAAGGGTAGGGACTCCAGTTGTGAAATCATGATGTGACATATACTCCAGCTACAGCTTTGAGCTGAAGGGATATAGAGGACACAGAGGGATTCAGTGGCATCATCACAGCTAGATGCAAAGGCTTTACTTTCCAGGCTCTGTACAGGAATTGCCAGAGGTGGCAGATAAAGGAGTCACTGACTGTGGGTAGTAGTTATGCTAGGTTGTCTTTCCTGGATTTAATGAATAAGGGTGTGATGAAAGCTTTTAAACATGAGGGTCATTCACAGAATTGGGAGAGCATTGATCCTGAAGGCCAACTGATCAAGGGCAAACTGTTAGGGATTAGGGACAGAGTTTCTTTTTTTTTTTTCCCCCACCTGATTATGGGATATGAGTCCTTAATATACAGGATTCCCTAGGTCAAGTGTAAGCATGGGAGGGGATTTCTAACTGTCTCCTGACTGGGGGCCATTGGGATGGGGTGTAGCTGAACCCAGGATAACTAAAAAATGTCTGTTTGGCCAAGATGACTACAAATCTATGGCATTATTGGTCTGGCCAAGGCTGCCAGAGTGAGGAGAAAGTCTGAAGAGAAATGGCATGAGAACGGAGTTCAGAGAAAGACCAGCCTGGAGGCAAATACCAGGAGTCCCCATGGAGCTGGGAGGTGGCACATGGAGAGTCACAGGACACCGGCACTGGTGCCATGTTCCACCACGCCCCTGGGGAGGTCCAAAGAGGGAACTGGAAAGACAGTTGGGTGGTTCAGCACAAGAAACTAGAAGCCTGAGCTGGTGCTGGGTGTGACAGCAGAGGTAGGAGGAGCCCCGGAAGAATCAGCAGCACATGCACACGACCAGGCCAGGGGGTAAAAAGGGGAGAATCCACAGACTCAGAAGTATCAGAGAGAAAAACATCAATTGAATTTTTAAAAAGTTATACCTTGATGGTGGAGGTTCGTACAGATAACAGGGGATCATCCACAAGATAGGACAACCCCTACAGGACAACATGCCAACAGAAGATAAAAACACCATTGATTGTACATTCCAGCATTCCCAAGCCAGTTTTGACATTCAATCTCTCGATCCTGGCATTCCACCCCTTGAGTCCAACATTCCACCCCTCATTCCCGACATTCTGCCCCCTTCATCCCAACATTCCACCTTTTAGCCCCAACAAGACCCTGCTCAATCCCAACATTCACTCCTTCCATTCCAACATTCTACCTCTCCTGTCCCAACATTCCATCCCTTGAGCCCAACATTCCTCCCCTAAAATCCAGCATTCCAGAGCTTTAATCCCAATATCTCATCCCCACAATCCAACATTCTTTCCCTCAAATTCAGCATTCCATCCCTTCAAGGCCAGCATTCCATCCCTCAATTCTGAAAACTCATTTCTTTAATGCCAACATTCCATCCCTTCAAACCCAAATATTTTCACCCATATCCTTTCAATGTATACATTCCACCCAGCACATGCAACTTGGAAAGGGCAGTTGGGTCTGGGCCTATCCCTTTGGCAAGCTCAGAGTCTTTGAGACAAAGTCTAGATATGAATATAGGTTCTTGATAAATCCTGTAAATTAGGGTTTGCAGAGCACCTTCCCATTTTGGAAGTCCTTATTAGGTTCAGCTGTCATCCACAGTATCTGCTCAGATAGAGTCATTTTGGCCGGGCACGGTGGCTCACACTTGTAATCCCACACTTTGGGAGGCTGAGGTGGGTGGATCACAAGGTCAGGAGATCGAGACCATCTGGTCAACATGGTGAAACCCCATCTCTACTAAAACTACAAAAATTAGCTGTGCATAGTGGCACACGCCTGTAGTCCCAGCTACTTAGGAGGCTGGGGTAGGAGAATTGCTTGAACCCGGGAGGTGGAGGTTGCAGTGAGCTGAGATCACACCACTGCACTCCAGCCTGTAACAGAGCCAGACTCTGTCTCAAAAAAAAAAAAAAAAAAAAAAAAAAAAGAGTCATCTAAGCCAGGCATGGTGGTGTGCACCTGTAGTCCCAGCTACTTGGGAGGCTGAGATGGGAGGATCATTTGAGGCCAGGAGTTTTAAGACCAGCCTGGGCAACATAGCAAGATTCTGTCCCGGCCCCTCACCCTGATAAAAGGAGTCATCTAACGTTTATTCTCTCTACATCTGGGAGGCCAGGATATGGAACATCTAGAATTAGGAAGTTCCTTCCTTAGTGTACTGAGCCCTGACTACAGACTCTTTGGGGAGGAGGTTCTAGAAAGGAACAGGAAGGCTTTCACTTCGTTTCTCTTTGGCTTTTCTACCCTGACCTCTCTTCCCTGTCTACTATTCCTAGCACTTTCTGCCAAGGGTCCAGGGTTGGCCCCACTGCCCTTCCTTTCAGTCTGATGGTTAGGCACAAGCATCATTCCAACTCCAGCTGTGGCACCCTAAGCCATGGCTCTGTTTTAACAATCAGGCTGTTAGCATCTGGACTCCCTGAGAACCGCAGGGTGATTGGGCAGGGGTGTGGTTGAGGGGAGCAGTACTGATGAATCTTGGCTGGAGAAATACATGCATTGCCTCCTTCATACACTGTCTGCAGGAGGATGTAGGGAGTCAAGGGGTCCACAGGCTACACCAACCCAGCCCCAGAGGCAGGACAGAAATCAACACTCTTCTCCACTGTCCTATACAAATTCAGCCCAAGCTTTGAAGGGTAATGCCCATCAGAAGTTAGAAACTGATAGGCAGAGCCCTAAGTCCTCAGAAATCAAGAAATGGGCTGTGGAGATGAGTGTGGGATATGTGGGAGGCTGGGGGAGTGACCTCCTCAATGCTCCTGCAAAACAGAGCTGGCCTCCCACCCTGCTGACCTTGCCCCACTCCTCAGGATCTTCCATCTGAGGGCTGATAGATCTCATCACTACCTTTTGGATCTGAAGGGGACAGATCTTGACTTCTGTCCCAGAGTGAAGATATGAATACAGCCTTAGAAAAGGGTCAGGGTCAGTGATGAAAAGGAGGTGGCAATGGGTTGGGACTCACAGTGGTTTTTTCCAGGCAGTGCAGCAGGTGATGATGCTGGCTCTCGATGAGTGAGGTGGTCTTGCCCATGTGCTCCTCTTCTGGGGTGCCCTAGCGAAAAAAGAAGAGATACTGAGTAAAAAGTTGGTGGCTCTTCCCCTCTGCAGCTCCTTCATTTCTCCACTAAGGGTTAAAGGGCAATAGAAAAATCAAATTTTTTTATTTGACCAAATTTCAGGGTCAGCATTGAACATGCTAGCCTTTGGGCTCAGGGGCCCTTGGTCTAAACCTGGTTTAGAGGTAGTGTTGATAATCCTATGGGAGGGGTGTGTGAACAGGGGGGCCGCTACCTGAGGAAAGTTTGGAAACATGTCCTCCTTGGGGTTCCTACTGGGGCTCTGGGTTGGAAGGGCTGGTGTCCCCGGAAAGAGAAAACAAGCCCATCTGCCCCTTGACATTCCCCAGCCCAGGTCCTCTAGACACCTACCGTCAGCTCCAGTGCCTCGTTGAGAAGCCCGTTGCGCTTGCTGTGCAGGTATGCATTGGAACTGCCTGTTTTGGCCACACGGATCCTGGCAAGGCGAGCCTTCTGTGATTGGCAGAGACAATAAAAGAATGAGGGAGACCACGATACAGAAAGACGGCAAGCCTGATAACACCTGATGAAGGGGATGAGGCTGTTTCTCTCCAGTTTCATGCATCTCCAGTTATAGATCCAGGGATTTGGTCTGAGACGTTGTGTACCTACTTTGTACAGCTTGGTCGGGTCAGAATTCCCAGGAGTTTCCACTCATCTCTCCAACCTGAGTATAATCCTGGCAGGAGAAATATCACTCATCCAAGCTCTCTACTCCCAAAGGTTTCATGACCTTTATCTACTCAGTATTGCAAAATGCCATGTGCTATACAGTGGGGGTATATCTTATCTCTAACTAGGCTGCAAACTCCTTAGAGGAATGTATATGATAGCTGTCCTGATTCTCCTCTAGGGAACAGTACAGTTTTCTGCATATAGTAGTTCCCTAAATATTAATTATGAGGAAAGCAAGGCATGTGCCTATGTGCCCTTCAACACTTCTTAACTCCTCTGCAATTTTTTTCTTAGCACTTATTGCTAAGGTAATTCATGTTTCATATATTTATCTTGATACTTTCTCTTTCTCTCCACTGAAATGTAAACTCCTCACATTTCCACTGAAATGTAAACTCCAAGGAGGGGTTTTTGCCTTATTTACTGATGTACCCCAAATAAACAGTAGGTTCTCAATTTTTAAAGTTAATAAACATATTTACAATTGTATGTCTGTCTTTGGGAGTGGATTCATGCATGTGTGTGTGTGTGTGCGTGTGTGCGTGTGTGTATATATATATATACACACACGCACACACGCACACACACACACACACACACACACGCATGCATGCAGGTGCACACCACCATGCCTGGCTTAGATGACTCTTTTTTTTTTTTTGAGACTGAATATATATGTGTGTATATATGTATATATATATATATATTTTTTTTTTTTTTGAGACTGAGTCTTGCTCTATCACCCAGGCTAGAGTGCAGGGGCTCACTGCAACCTCCGTCTCTCAGATTTAAGTGATTCTCCTGCCTCAGCCTCCCGGGTAATTGGGATTACAGGCACCCGCCATCACACCTGGCTAATTTTTGTATTTTTGGTAGAGAAACGGGGCTTCACCATGTTGGCCAGGATGTTCTCAAACTCCTGACCTCAGGTGATTCACCCGCCTCAGCCTCCCAAAGTGCTGGGATTACAGGTGTGAGCCACTGCACCCAGCTGCATGTGTATGTTAATATATATTTATTTTGCTGTGCATGACAGTGGGAATGAGTATAGGTACATGTCAGAGTTGACCTGGTATGCGTAAGAAGGGAGATGGGACACATTTCCACACACTACTTGGTTTTAACTAGGACAACTGAAACTCTCCGCAGCTCCAACCTGGGAAGCCTTCAGCGGAGAAGGTCCACTGCAGGAGGACTGCATGGTACCTCAGTACAAGCTCATCTCTTCTGCTTGCCCAGGGAGAAGCTGAACACATTACACATGCTGGCTGCCCTTCTCCCTCCTAATGACTGTAATCAATGTTGCCATGACAGTAGCACAGCCAGAGAGAGGACTAAGGAAGGAGACTGAGAAGGAGAAGGGGCTGGGTAGAGGTTTCCTGCTGGTTTAAAAAAATGCAGCTTGAGGTTTGGACTCTGTAGATCTAGTTACGGCCTCAGGCTCTTGCTACTGGAAGCAGAACAGCTCCCAAGGATCACGGACCTATCCTGAAGTAAAATGTCCCTCCTACTTGGTCTCTCCAAGCCCACATGTGACTTCAGCATGGACTCTAAGCAGAAGAGTCCTAGGGAAATTGTGGCAATTTCCTCTTCTTGTCACCCACTCCCCAAGTGTCCTGCTGGGCTGGTTCATCTGCTTAAAGGAGGCCACGGCACAGGGGTTCAGGTGGTCAACAGAAGCACAAAGGATGTATATCTCTAGCTTCCTGGGAAGTATCTCCTTGCAGAAACAATTCAACTCCCTTCCCTGGCTTCTAAATATGGGGAAGAGGCGAGGACTTCAGCCTGAAAGATCTTCCCCTAAGTCTGCGGAAGACTGCTTCTCTTGATGAAGGAAAGAATAAAAAGGGGAACATGGGAGAGAAAGGATGATGGCAAATCAGCCCTATCACTCCTCCTCTCTACAAGCAGAGAACATTCATTTGTGGGCCAGGACAGTTCTACTCCATGGGAATCCTGCCCCAGCCCTCGCCTTGGCTAGATGTTTACATTTAAGCCAATTCCACATCATTTGAGGATGTGGCTGCATTTCCTTTGGGTGAGTGCTGGGTGTTGAGAATTTCATATGGAAATCCAATTGTGTCAAGCTCATTATAGTCTTAGATAATTTGATTGCACCACTTGGAGCCAGACCTTTCTCGTGTCTGGGGTCCATCTTCATTAGTTTCTAGAGATGAAAGATTCTCCTGTTCTTTTTTGTGGCATTTCTTTTAATCTTATCTTACCCTGGGCTCTATTAAAGCAACAGATTGTCATATCAAATGCACTGGATCATTTAATCACTTCCCACACAGGATAAAGAGGTTTGCAATGGATTTACAGAACCATACCCAGCATGTGAAATTTGGTGGGGCTCTATGGCTTGGTTTTGAGCTCTTAGGGGCTGGGGCATGTGGCTTATGCATATTTTTATCTCTAGCACCCAACACAGGGCTTCGCACTGAACAGGTGCTCAAGCAAAGTTTATGATGGTTGAGGAAGGAAGAAGATCCTATGTAGATGGCTGGACGGCCATGCTTATACAGCCACTGTAATGGGCCCAATCCTTGTACGGACTGCTCAATCTCACCCTCTTCCATGGCGTTAAAAACAATGTGGGAGTTAAAAGAGAGCTTGGAGATCATCCAGACCAATTCAAAGACAAAAAAAAAAAAAAAAAAAAAAAAAAAGGGAAGATGTGATGTGAGGGGAAGTGACTTATCCAGGGCAAGGCAGTGGATGAGCAAGACTTCAGCTCAGGACCCTCCAACTTTCAGACCCGAATGCTGCTTCCAGAACTTTTTCCTCCTCCTTTCCTGAATTTCCACCATCAGGCAAGTTTCAAAATTTGAGAAAAACCCAGGAGATTGTATTTTCAACAAATGTGGAGAATCCAGAGTTGGAGGAGAGGGGACCTGAAAGGAGAAGGCTGCTACCTTGGGTACCGTTGCAGGCACCGTCTACGCTCAAGCCCATACTTCTACCAATCCTTGAGACGCCTCTCACAATTAAGCACTTTCTTCCTGTTTGGCTAATGGGTGCCTTTTAGCCATGAGTATTTCTATCTCTTGGCCTAGGAGAGGCAGAAGGAAGAGAAACAGAAAAAAATGGAAAGGACAAAACATGGGCAATTGCATTCTTAGGCATTTATTTCAGAGAAATTAAAGCTTATGCTCACATAAAAACTTCTACATGATTGTGCACAGTAGCTTTATTTGTAATAGCCAGAAACTGGAATCATCCCAGGTGTTCCTCAACAGGCAAATAAACAAACCAGTACATCTGTACCTTGGAATACTACTCAGCAATAAAAACGAGTGGAATATTGATACAGCCACTTGGATGAAAATCCGGGAATCATATAGAATGGAAAAAGCCAATCCCCAAAGGTTACCTATTGCATGAATTCATTTATATAACATTTTGAATTGAAAACATTTTATAAATGATGGAAAAATAAATGGTTGCTATGGGTTAGGGACAGGGCAGGGCTAGGGCAGAAGGTGGGGTTATAAAAGGGCAACCCACAAGATTCTTGTGGTGTAAGAACTGTTGAGTCTCTTGACTGCGGCAGTGGATGCATGAACTTAACACACACACAAGCGTACACACGCACACACACACACACACACACACACACACACGCCAGAACAAGTAAAACTGGAATATCTGAATAAGCTTGGTTGGTTGTACAATGTCTATACCCTGGTTGTGGTATATAGTACTATTGTTTTGTACAATGTTACCACTGGGGGAACTGCTGGGCAAACTTTATAAGGGATTGCTCTGTGTTATTTCCTACAACTACATGGGCATCTGTAATTATCTCAATAAAACATTTCATTAAAGAAAAGAATATGGGTATGTACCAGAACTCAAGATGGGGACCAAATGCCCCACTCCAGATGTTCCCCTCTCTGTCCACTGCCAGACCTCCCCTTATCTCCAGTTCACTTGGCTCAGAGGACACAGTATCTAAAGCAAATAGTAATAGACTAATCTTAGTAATAATCCCAAGCAAACTAGTCATGGGAAGAGGATGACGGCATTAATTTCCCTTTGAGGGAAGTTAATATAGCTACGATAGCTCCCAAGTGTGTGGTCTGGGCTGAGAACTGTCATTAGCCTCCTGCCTATCCCATCTCTCCCTTTCCACCAAATTTTCTGGACCTGCTTGCCTTGACCCATGGTGAAAGACTCAGTGCTGGAGCAGCAAGTATTTTTTCTCTCTTATAGGAAGCCCAAGGTGACAGAGACAGAGCTGAGTAACCTTGAGGAGAAACAGTATCCAGGCGAGGTAAAAACATCGTAAATATGGCCGGGCGCGGTGGCTCACGCCTGTAATCCCAGCACTTTGGAAGGCCGAGGCGGGTGGATCACGAGGTCAAGAGATCGAGACCATCCTGGTCAACACGGTGAAACCCCGTCTCTACTAAAAATACAAAAAATTAGCTGGGCATGGGGGCGCGTGCCTGTAATCCCAGCTACTCGGGAGGCTGAGGCAGGAGAATTGCCTGAACCCAGGAGGCGGAGGTTGCCGTGAGCCGAGATCGCGCCATTGCACTCCAGCTTGGGTAACAAGAGCGAAACTCCGTCTCAAAAAAAAAAAAAAAAAAAAAAAAAACATCGTAAATATTTACTCTGATTTCAAGGGGAGAGAGAAGAGGAAGAGGGAAAGGGGCAGGGAAGGAGGGATACTCATCTTTAGCAACTAGAGGAAGGAATAAGCCTAAGTTGCTCCTAGATTTTAATTACACAGGATGAACTTATAATGTCCCAGGGGAGAGCTGGGAACATGCCTGTAATCCTAGCTACTCTGGAGGCTGAGGTGGGAGGACTCCCTGACCCCAGGAGTTTGACTCCATCCTAGACAACACCGTGAGATCCCATCTCTAAAAACAATAATAAATCAATTCCCAGGGGAGGGGAAGGTAGCTGTAGGAGCCATTGAGAGCACAGCTGGAATGGGCTGTCACTGGTGTGTGCACAGCCGTGAGCTAGTGTGTGAGCTGAGGATTCCTGTGAACCTCATCTGCCAAAAACCTGTGTCAGCCCCGGCCCCTTGAGGGCGGGGCCACTAGAGGATCCTTGGCCCCTCAGGGTCTCTGGTTCCTGAATGTGGGAAGGAGATCCCAGTTTCTCCCACTCCCTTATTTAGAACAGCGTAACAAATTTGGACTGTATTCAAATCTGCTGCCTGGCTTGAACAGGGAAAGAGGGAAGATTTCCATTTCTGGGGTGACTGGCAGGGGACAGGAGGTAGGGAAACCCTGACCTTGGATGAAGAGGTAGGAGATAGGCGTGTATGGAACAGAAAGGATGATGGCACAGAGCCGGAAGATAAATCTTAAGGTGGCAACCTACCAGACCAGGTCAGGATAAGTAAAAACATAGTTCAGCAGAGGCAGAGGGGACAGGAGGGCAAGGAAGAGCCAACCACAAAGGCACACAGAAGGTGATAGGCTAGAGGTGGGAACCAAATGGATTCACCATACAATCATATGTAAATTGTTATATGATAATTATACATTTTGGAGCTTGCTTTCATAACCTTTATAGCTTTGTGACATACACAGATCTGTTCTGAAATTCTGCATTTCTTCCTCCAGAACGACATTAACTTCCCTTTGAGCCTTTGCACCCAAAGCAAGCCCTGCTAGTTGGAGGTTAACCCTGCAAGCAGAAGGCCAGTAGCAGGGATATGTAGCAAGGAAAGAATCTGGCTGCAATGCACAGGGCTGACCACGTAGTATGTGTTCAGTAAATGTTTGTGGAATAAAGGATAAAAGAAAGAATAAAGTAGGGAGACAAAACCCCAAGCCTCCGAAAGTCAATCTTTCAACAGCTTGCCTCCTGTCCATTGTCCTCAGAAAGGCTATGGCCACAATCCCTGGGGGCTGAGATGCTGCTGAAGGGGCATCACAGTTCAGCCCAAATCTGAAGACAATTAATAACACCACTCCCCTCTCCCCCAACCCAGATATCCCTCTTCTGAGAGGAAACCTGGGGAAAGTCACTACCCAGGAACCTCATTGGCTAGATGCCTTAAAAATGCAAGTGAACAAGAGTTGGCTGAGTCGATGAGCTGTTCTAGAAAGAAGGTTCAGGGCTAGCTGGAAAAAGAGGCTTCTTTCTGAGCACTAAAGGCTTCAGACATTTTTCCTCATTGCATGGGCAAATGACCGTATTTTACCCTCTGCTGCAGTCTTCAGTAGTGTATATGGAGCATATCTAAAGCTTTCCTCAGGACTCATGGTTAGTCTCCTGATCTCCAACTGCAGTTACGTTCTGTGCCTTTACCCTATGATATCCTGGAGATTCCTAAAGCCTCTTGTGCCATATGTCTCTGAACTAAGCGGCCTCAGGATGCTCTCCTTTCACAGTATTTATTTCTCTTTTCAACAAATTTATTTTTGTCACTGGGTTTTCTATAGGCTTTTATAGGATATTAAAAAGAGATTATGTTTCCTAGTAAGCTCTTGCTTGGCAGAGGGAGGCGTACAGGGACGGCTGAGTGGCAGTGGCTGAGGGAGTGGAGGTGGAGCCAGAGGCCAAGGAAATTGCCATAGAATGTCCAAAGGGGGATAATCAGCTTATAGATAATTGAGGGTTCATTGCATTTTGGAACTGACTGGGGCTGGAATTTAGGAGACTGGTGAGCGGGAAGGGACTGAAGCTACCTTACCTTGCAAAGCCAAAGGCTGTCTGTGCAGTGATCCTCCAAGAAGCTCTAGGCCTGGCTCCCTGACTGACGCTCCCCCGCATCCTTTACACTGCCCCCCACATCCCTGCGTCTGAGGCTTACCTTTTGTGCTCTGCGTTTATCAGCTCTCTGATTCTGGTGGTAAATCCGGCTAAAGTTGGAAACAATCACAGGGACTGGCAGGGCAATGACGAGGACGCCGCTCAAGGAGCAGATGGAGCCGAAGATCTTCCCTGCAATTGTCTTAGGCACCATGTCTCCGTATCTGAGAGAGGGAGAGAAACAGGGTGTAAGGGAGCGAGGGCCATTTGGGAAACAAGTCAGGCTTCCCTGCCAGTCATTCACCTATTCATTCATTCACTCATTCAGCAATTGTTTAGAGTACCTACTATGTGCCAGGTACTGTGACACAACCTGGGGGTGAACAAAAGAGACGACATCCTTATGTGCAAGGAGACAGCATCCTAACAAGACCATAAACAATTAAGTGAATACATAAAAAAGTTGGTTCTAGGAAAAGATGAGAGAGAGGTTGTGCATCAGATGGTGGGACCGAGGTCAGGAAAGGCCTCTCTGATGAGCTAACATTTAAGCTGAGAGCTGAAGGTAAAGGATCCAGTCATGCAAAACACCTGGGGACAATGGTGTGCGGTAGAGGGAACAGCAAGTACAGAGGCCCTGAGGTAGCAGGAAGGGGTCTGGCCTGATGTAGGAATTGTCAAAGGGTTAGCAAGACTAGAGCCCACAAGAGGACGGTAAGGCAGATAGGGCCCAGATCATGCAGCGTCTGACGGGCCACGGGGAGGAATATGGGTTTATCTTAAATACAGGGAGGTGCTATGAGGAGTTTTCAGCAGAAGAGCAACAGAATCTCATTTATGATAATAATAACAAATAACAAAGTTGCCTTCTATTCATGTGGATTTATAATTTACAAAGCACTTCTACATGTTTACCTCACATAAGCCCCATGAACCCTGTGAACTTTGTATTCTTATCCCTGTTGTACAGACGCAGGTACTAAGGCTGAGATAATTATGTGGACTGCCCTCATTTTCTCAGCTGGGATTAAAAGCTACTCTTCTTGCTTTTATCTATTTTCCAGTAGCCATAGCATCTCAGAGGGGGACCATGAGCTCTGAAGCTCAGCCCCTCACATCTGTGAAGCCACGTTGGAACCGTGCCGGCTCCTCTCAGAGCTTGGAGAAACCCGCTTAAGTACTTCACACCCTAGCAGCTGCCCTCTGGGACCAGCTTGGCCTGGATCCTACTCAGTCCTGGGCAGGCAGGCCAGAGCCTCTGTCCTCAATCAATAAGACACTCTCCACAGTGGTTAAGTGTTTATTGAGATAATTGAAAGGCCTTATTAAGCAAAGAGCTATGATTACTCCTTTGGCCAAAGACAGAAACACCAACTCCCCTGTCTCTGTACCCTCTGGGTGTCTGGAGCAGAAACAAGCTTATGATGACCAGGAATTGTTTCTGCTAAAATAGGCTCAAAGTCATTTGTCCTGAGGAGATCATGGAGCTTGGGTTTCCAGAGATGATGTGGAAGGGGATGGGGCAAGCTATTTCAGAAGTATGAACACCCAAGAAGTTTGTGGAAGACATGGCAGAAGTAGACAGGTATTTGGTGAATGAATGAATGAATGAATGATCTCACTTAAGCCTCTCAATTCCCTTTGAAGTAGGCTCCTGTTTTGAGACTGTCTTCCTTCTCCTTCAGTGTCCATGCCCTTTGCCCTGGTTCAAGATTTCCTGGACGTGCACCAGCATTGAGGCCTGTGATAGAGGCTTCTAGATCTTTCCAGCTAGAGTTGTTTCCTCCGCCATGATACTCAGGAGAGGCCTCCAGGGAAGTGGTTGAGAACGTGGATTGTGAACTTAGACAATGTGGGTTCAAGACTCACCCAGCTCCATAAAATAGCTGTGTGATCTTGGGGGAATGTTACTCTGGGCCTCAGTTTCCTTATCTATAAATTGAAGATAATAACAGTAACCTAGATCATAATCCTATTGTAACATATACAGCTCTACAAACAATAAATACTATTACTTTTAGCTAGGCATTCTGAAAACCACAGTCTCTGTTGATGAGAAACTCTAAAAACACAGTTGGTTTTCCCAAGTTCAAATAGCCCCAGTGATGAAGAAAAAGTGGCTGCCTCTAAGATATATCACCTTAGCTGGGATTTTCAGATGACATAACTGAAGGCCCATGGGCACGGGGCTGTGGATGAAAATAAAGCATGGCAGGAATGTGGAAGAATAACATCAGGAAGGCTGCATTTCAGAGTGACTGAGGCTGGTGAGGAATGCTAAGGACAACAGAAAGATTGTTTTATCCATTTGAAGAAAGAGAAGGGAAGCCATGCCTCCTGCTGGGGCAGATGGTCTGCTAGTGACAGATGACAGGGAGAAAGCCGAATAATCCACACCCAGACATCCTCTGCCTTCTCCACCGAGAAGGAGGAGCTGCGTCTTGGAGAGGCTGGGACAAATGCTGAAAAGAAGGATCCGGAGCTTAAAGTAGGAGACGGGAAAGCAGGCAAGGGTCCAGCTGAATTCAGTAAATTTACATCACAGGCCCACATGAGTCCCACCCAGGAGACAGGAGGAATGTGCAGATGGGGCTGCAGAACCACTGCCCTGGATCTTTGAGAAATCATGGTGCAGCAGAAAATTGCCAAGAGACAAGAGATGGAAAAGAGTTGTGTTGAATTTTTAAAGAAGGCAAAAGGAGAAACCACAGACCAATAGGCTGGGCATCCATAAATTCTGCCATCAAATTGCTGGCAGAATTTGAGAGCAGATTATTAAGTGGACAGCTTGTGAATACTTGGAAAATAAGCTGTATTGGTTCTCTAGGCACACATTTTGCCAAATTAACCTTATTTCTTGTGGTGACAGTGAGGTTGACTGGTTGGTAGATCAGGAGACTGCTCCAGACCAACTGAATCATGATTTTAACAAGATGGGTTCTTGTCCCAGTTCTTTATACCCTTGACAAGCTGGAGGAGCATGGTGTGGATAGCAGTATGGTTAGCAGGGTTTACACAACCATGTCCAGTCTTCTGGCACTTCTCAAAGATTACCAACTGTGATCCTATGCCAGCAAAGGAAGTTCATGGTTTTCATGTTAAAACATCTCCTTTAGTGAAAAAGTAAATAAGTAAATGAAAGAAAGATCTCAAGTTAGGTCTCCAGCGGTATGTTCCAGAATTTTTCATAAACTTATATAAAGCCAGAGGGAGGCAACATGGCCTAATAATTAAGAGAGGACACTGGAGTCCAACCTGGGTTTGAACCCTAGCTTACATTAGTTACCCACTAGTTAAGTGACCCTGGGCCATTTATTTAACCCGAGCCTGTATCACCTATAAAATGGGTTTTATATCTCCAGGGTTTTTGCAATAATTAATGAGATGATTCAGAAGAAACCCTTAATTCAGTGTTTGAATAACTGTAAGTTGTCTAGAATTAGCCAGTGTAGTGGGTACCTATTGTTTTGTCTGCTGACACCCTAATAGGAATTGTGCCTCTCATTACCACGATGATGTAAACTGTTCAGATAAGCTGCCGTATTTCCCATGCCCCCATGCCCACTTGCCACAGTTAATGAGTTCAAAATAGGGCATCTTACCCATGCTGAGTCAATGACTTCCTTTCCTGGATTTATTTCTTTTTTAAAGCGTTACTGAGACACAATTTACATACTACAAAATCCAACCATTTAAATTGTACATTTCAATGGTTTTTAGTATATTTACAAAGTTGTGCTTACATCACCACAGTTTAATTTTAGAGCACTTCATAACCTCTAAAAAAACTTGTACCCATTAGCAGTCTGTGACCATTCCACAGCCTACCTCTCAGACTTACACAACCAAGAATCTACTTTCTGTCTCCACAGATGTCCTCACATTGGACAATTCATGTGAACGGACCCATATATGTAGCTTTTGCTGTCTGACTTCTTTCACTGAATGTATTTTCAAGGTTCATCCATGTTGTGGCATGTATCAGTACTCCATTTCTTTTTATGGCTGAATAACATTCCACTGTCTGGGTATGCCACATTTTGTTAATTCATTCAAAAGTTGATGACATTTGGGTTGTTCCCACATTTGAGTTTTTCTGGATAATGCTGCTATAAACATTTGTGTACAAGTTTTTGTGTGAACATGTTTCCATTTCCCTAGGAGTCATACGGTAACTACGTTAAATAGTTTGAGGAACTGCCAAAATGTTTTCCAAAGTGGCTGTGCCATTTTACATTCCCACCGGCAATGAATGAGGCGTCCAATTTCTCTTTATCTAAGACAACACTTGTTATTGTCTGTCTTTTTATCGCTGTCCCGGTGGGTATTATCTCGTTATGGTTTTGATTTGGATTTTCCTGATGGCTGATGGTGTGGAACATCTTTTCCCCTTCCTTGGACTTTTACATTGGGATCAGATCAGTCTGTTTCAAAGAAGCCGACATTGCAACAGCAAAGATATGGAGCTGTTGGCAGCCACAGTGTCTGCCCTGGGGAAAAGCAGGATTGCAGTCAGGGAGGAAGAAGATTGGCACTAGCAGGAGATGAGTGATGGAAAAGACAGTGACGGAGCTGGAGTTCCTGTTCTAATTCTTACCAAGGACCAGCTGTATCCCTGACTTTCTTGTCGCTTAGCTGTTCCATTCTTCCTTTGACTCTGCTCACTACCAAATTTTTGTTTAACCTTCTTTCATTTGGCTCCTGTGGTAATGCTGATGATGAGGCTGCTACTGATGATTGTTTCAAAGTAAGTTCCTCCCATTTCTAAATGACAGAGCTACTATGAATTGAGGTCTTTAGGAGTCAAAAGGATTTTAACAGGTTGTAATCTTGGGCGAAGCCAACCAGATTAATTTTAACAAAGGTAAATGAGAACACCAGCATTTTGATTCAAATAATCAATGACGTATAGCTTATGGGAAAGACCTGGCTTAAAAAGAGTCTCTGTTAACAATCACCTGGGAATTTAACTTAAACATTGGCCACCAGTATAAAGAGGCTGCTAAAAACCTAATGCCATCCTTGGCTGGACTGATGTGAGTGCAGTGTCTGGAAAAAAGAATGGGTGTTGTGCTCTGCTCCTCGATGCAGACCATTTCTAGGCTGCTGTGTCAAGTTCCAGGCACTATGCAGTCTGTAGGACATTGATTAACTGGATCATGTCTAGAGAGGGGAGGCTGTCTGGAAATCCTCTCAAGGGAAACCATCAAAGGAATGGGAATGT